AAAGCACTGCTCAGGGTAAGTTTATAGGTTTCATTTATTTGGGTGGAAGTATTTATTTTACATTCAAATTAATACATTCTGCACTTCTGGGATTTCACAGAAAGTTTACAAAATACCCTGGCTTCACAGACAATCACTGATATGTTGCATGAATGATACCAATTACGTGTGTACGATAATGAAGCAAACTTCCTGCATATTGCTATTGCAAACTTTTTGCATTTTGCTACTGCCTTAACAGATCTTCAGTGGGTGGATTCTTCGATGCTTACTGAGCTGATATGAGTGCCTAAACGATTCCCCACATTCTTCACATTTATACGGTCTCTCTCCTGTGTGAATTCTACTATGTTTAGTGAGGCCACCTGACTGTGAAAATGTTTTCCCACATTCCTGACATTCATAAGGTTTCTCTCCTGTGTGAATTCTACGATGTTCCGTGAGGGAACGTAAGAGTGAAAATGTTTTCCCGCATTCCTGACATTCGTAAGGTTTCTCTCCTGTGTGAATTCTTCTATGAGGAATGAGGTTACTTGAGTGAGAAAATGTTTTCCCACATTCCTTACATTCATAAGGTTTCTCTCCTGTGTGAACTCTTTTATGAGCAATGAGGTTATATGAGAGAGAAAATCTTTTCCCACATTCCTGACATTCATAAGGTTTGTCTCCTGTATGAATTCTTCTTTGCACAGTGAGGTGACTTGATTCAAAAAATGTTTTCCCACGTTCCTGACATTTATAAAGACTCTGTCTCATGTGAATTCTAGTATGTCTCCTAAAGGACTGTGAATAGCAAAAGGTTTTCGCACATTCCTTACGTTCAAAAAGTCTCTCTTCTGTGTGAATTCTTCTATGAGAAATGAGTGTACTTGAGCAGGAAAACCTTTTCCGACATTCCTTACATTCAAAAGGCTTCTCTCCTGTATGAATTCTTCCATGTGTAATGAGTTTACTTGAGCAGGAAAATCTTTTCCCACATTCATGACATTCAAAAGGTTTCTCTCCTGTGTGAATTCTTCTATGTGTAATGAGTGTACCGGATTGAGAAAATGTTTTCCCACATTCCTGACATTCAAAAGGTTTCTCTCTGGTATGAATTCTTCCATGTGTAATGAGTTTACTTGAGCAGGAAAATCTTTTCCCACATTCCTTACATTCAAAAGGTTTTTCTCCTGTGTGAATTCTGCTATGAGAAATGAGCTTATTTGAGTGAGAAAATGTTTTCCCACATTCCTTAGATTCATGAGGTCTCTTTCCTTCGTGAATTCTCAGATGTGGTGTGAAGTCAGGTAATGTGGCACAAGTTTTCCCACTTTCCTGACACATGGAAGTCTCTACTCCATGAAGATTTCTCTGAGAAGTCTGGTGACTTGATGTGGAAACTGGTTTCTCACATTCCTCACACGGAGTAGGTTTCCCTCTTGTATAAGTTTTCCTATGTTCACAGAGGTCATGTGATCGAGGAAAGGTTTCCCCACCTTTCTTACGATCAAAACTTATCTCGCCTGTGTGACTTCTTCCCTGCGCCATGATCTGACTAGATGGTGAAAATGCTTTCACACCTTCTTTACTTTCAGTAGGTTTCTCTGCAACATGTTTCCTTGAATATCTCCTCAGAGGTAAAAAAGAAAAAAGCAGATTTACCACACTTGTGACATTGATACAGCCTATCTGCACTCTGAATTTTTCCATCTGCTCTGATCTCTCCATGTCCTAGTACAGGAATAATAAGTTTCCCATTTTCTGCACAGTCATAAAACTGATAAAAAATGGTAAGTGTTTGCTGAAAAAGAAAGGAAATGTATTTATAGAGGTTTTACATGTTTCTGTACACTCATTCCCAATAGTCCTCCACCTGCATCCACAGGGATGAGAAGGCACAGAAATCTTGGCTACGTTTGTCACATACAATGCGTGGTCTCAGCAAGGTGAGTCTGCAACAGGTGTACATCTAGAGAATTTCCTTCCAAAGAGGGAAGATTGTAAATTCTGATGCAACTTTCATGGGTTATTCTATGCAACCCCTTTATATCAGTACTGTACTGTCTGATGTCTGGTCAAAAACACACAACACTAAGCTGTAAGTGTGCTCTCATGGGCCTGTAGTAAAACCAAAATGAAGGCTTAAGGGTTTTGCCTAAGGACTCTCCAAAGTCTAAATCTACCAAAACTCCTGCTCCTGTATTTAATTTTATGAATCTTAAATAGTTTTGATGGCTGTTTCACAAGTCATTGTTTCCTAAAAGGTGTTGGAAGATTTTTCATTTGATTGAAACTCACCTAAAGTCATCGTCTTGATTTTGTTCTAAAGCTTCTTTGCCGCACAATGCTGACATCTGTTGTAACATGGAAGGCCACAGTCGGCTCGTCCTTAAGAATTTCATCTGTGTATATTCACGGAATAAAGCCTTTCGATCACTAAAGTTTTGAATACCTGCCAATATCCAAGTATGACAATATAAAACCCACAACAAAGGAAGTCATAGAGGACAGTCTTGTGTGAAAAAAACAGTAATGTAAGTCTACTTTTCAGATTCAGGATATTCACAAAGGATAAAAACCTGTAAAGGAAAAACAGTTACTAGAAAAACGAAAGGGACCATGTCATAATTTGCTTTCCTCGAGGTCGGGAACCAGAAAAATGACGCACACAGGACACATGTCAGATCATAGAGTACACACCCCCCACACACACAGTACACAGAAAAGCACAGAGAACACACACCACATCAGAGAGTACTTCACAGAGCAGACACACAACATCTCAGAGTACTCACACAAAGTCACTGAGTACTCACCTATCACACAAAACACACACAATTGGACAGAGTACACACAGGACACACCACACACAGGAACAGAAAGTACACACAAAACATCACATAGTTCTGTAGGAGGCCAGAGATCGATCAAAACATGATTTGACAAGGTCTGTGGTGATATACCAATAGGAACCGACCTTAAGGAATGCAATGCAAGCTGTATAAGAACAAAACCAGACTCAAGGAATACCCAACCTGAATCCTTCTGGTCACACAGAGAATTTTGGAATTATGTTGTGAATTTATTTTGCTTAATTGGCTGTATTTATTGGATTGTACAGAAAGGACGAAGAGAACAGAAAAAAAGCAAGAATGAATCTTGAAGAAATCATGCCTGTCTTGATGACCACAAAATTATGATTGATACAAAAAGGGGGATGTGGTAAGCTGATTATCAAATTTAATAGTAATAATAAACCAGATGTTATGTCTGGATAGGAGGGAGGTTGATACAAGCTGGAATTCACCCTGTAGCACTATGTCAATCCTTAAATGTTTACAAAAGTAGGCATTCAGGCAATTATTAAGAGTCTACATAGTTCTTAGTTTGTATCTACTGAATCTCTCCCTCCAGAATTAAGGTCAACAACAGGGAAAAATTCACCCTCATTTGTGAAAGATTTCTGTCATCTACTTCCCCATGATCCTCCCTTACTCCCTGCTGATTCTTTATAAAACCACAGAGAGGTGTAGCAGAAGGGCTGCAATTCTCCCAGCTCCTTGTCTTCGGGCTTTCTAAAGCCTTACTCACCATTCCTGTGTCCCACCGTCTCGGTCTTTTCCTTCAGCCGACAACACAGCACAATCCCACAAATCACACAGAACACATAGATATCACAAGGTACAGACGCATCACTCAGGACACAGACAAGATGACATAGTACACACACCACCTCACACTGCCTCAATGACAGGACTGTGCACACAGAGAAAATTCGGCACGGAACAGCTGTGTCTTCAAACAAACCTATAAAAAAAGCCTTTTCCTACTTCTTGCACAGTAAAGTAAGTAATGAGAAAGATCTTAAGCAAATGAACAATTGACCAGTGCGTTGGCCCAAACTGAGTGTCAATCCCACCACCCAAAAGACTTCAGAAGTTGATGCAGCTTTCATGGGTGATTCTGTGCAACCCCTTTATATAAGTACTGTACTGTCTGATGTAAATGGATTTACAGAAAAAAATCCATTTAATGTCACAGAAACCAAAGCACAACCATAGAATGTTGCATGAATAAGAACTTATGCACGTATCCATACAGAAAAACCAACTCAAGGTGGATCATGGACCTAGGACTAAAATCAAGGACTATAAACTTCATTACAGAAAAGCCAGGAACAACACTAGAAGTCCTAATCCACAACATAAACAGTCGTCCCAGTAGCCTGGAAAACCTACAACCAGGAGAAGATAACGTAGATGAATGGGATCTTCTAAGACTCAAATCCCTATGGACATCCAAAAATTTCTGCAACAGGGTAAAAAGGGAAGCCACTGACTGGGAAAAAGTATTTGGTAATAACGTATCAGGTAAGGGACTCATATCCAGAATTTATTAAATACTTGAGCACCACAACAAGATAAAGGTAAATAATCCAATAGAAAAATGGGCACAGGATATGAACAGGCACTTCACC